TTACTGAGCCTGGATATTGATCAATCAAGGAAATAAATCTACAGGGATGAGTAGCATTACTCTTTTTGTATTCAAGAAGACACCAGATTCTATCATTAAATACCATAAAGGCAGAACATACTAGTCTCACTGATTTTCTTTCTTAGCTATGGAAATATTAAAAACGACAGTTTTTAAGCACAAGTTATTTTAATTATGCAGAAATTAAAATTTAAGATGCTAGTGCTCCAATATGGCAATACCTAGTTAGATATTCACGATCAAGAAGATATTAGTTCACATTTGAAATATGACAATTGCTATGGATTGATTTCATGTGTCAGTTTCTTCCCTTCTTTTTTCTCATTTTTCACAGTCAGTCTCAAATCCCAAAAAGGATTAACCGCCGATATATCCTTCTTTCATTAGACCTTTATCATATTTTCTGAGTTCATACAAAGGATTGAGTCTATCCCTGTTTGTGAAACATACCACGGCTAGAAAAGTGGTTTGGGAGGATCAAAACTTCCATTTACCAGTCATATGTATAGTGTCAAAAATCATCAAAAGTATGATTGATATGCAGTACTCCGCCGCATTAAATAATTTAATAAATAAAATTATATCTTTTTTTTTTATTCTTTAATTTTATGAGATACGTTCTCTCCAATCCTCTCTACCAAGCACGTAATAATGGACTCTATTTTGCTGACAGAGGAAGAAGTAGTTACAAGGGATAATGATTATCTAGACTTTGTGCAAACTACAAACTGTGATGACATTTCCTATTGCTGAGCAATTAATTAAAAATTGCACCACTCTTAATTTTAGGACATTGACTTCCCAGTGTGTTTTCCTTAATAATTAAGTTGAAACAGCCTAATCCACAATTAAATATAATTTCAGTTTCTTGGAATTCTCAAGTGACAACTCAGCATGGAAACGTTGAAAGATTAAAATATGCTTCTTTAGATCCAGCCTGCCCTGCATAATATTACAAGCCTGAGTAGAATTCAAACAATGGTTAACTTAAATTAATGTAGTCTCTGATTAAATAGATATTTTTATGAAAATACAATTGCCTGATTATAGAAAACAGTGTATACTCTTAGGTAAATAAATTTGTTCCATTTTTAACGGTTTAATCTTTTAAATAAGGTAGTTTAACAATATAACTCGCTTCTAAAGAGTTTGATCAATATTGTTTCAACTCTCTCTCTCTCTCTCTCTGATTTGTGAAGAACAGAAAATGAATATGTCGACCATCAAAGAGTCCATACCTGAATCTGCAGAAAATAATGACCGTATGAAAGAGCTCAAGGAATTTGAGGAGACAAAATCTGGTGTAAAGGGGCTTGTTGATTCTGGGATTGTGAAAATTCCTAAAATGTTCATCAGACCAGATGATGAACTTGCTGGGGAATTCAATCATGGCCGATCAAATATTCAAGTTCCAACCATTGA